TTTTTTTTTTTTTGAGAGGGCATCTCTCATATTTATTGATCAAATGGTTGTTAACAACAATAAAATTCAGTATAGGGGGGTCAATGCTCAATGTACAATCATTAATCCATCTCAAGCCTAATTCTCGTCAGTCTCCAATCTTCTGAAGCATAACGAACAAGTTCTTACATGGTGAACGAATTCTTACAGAGTGAATAAATTCTTACATGGTGAACAGTACAAGGGCAGTCATCACAGAAACTTTCGGTTTTGATCATGCAATATGACCTATAAACCATCAGGTCAAATATGAATATTCATTTGATTTTTGTACTTGATTTATATGTTGATCCCACATTTCTCCTATTATTATTATTATTTTTATTTTTAATAAAATGCTGAAGTGGTAGGTAGATGCAAGATAAAGGTAGAAAACATAGTTTAGTGCTGTAAGAGGGCAAATGTAGATGATCAGATGATCAGGTGTGTGCCTATGGACTAAGTATTAATCCAGGCTAGACAAGGGCAGCAAGACATCCACGGATGCAGAAGATTTCTCTCAAAGCAGGGGGGGTGAGGTTCTGAGCCTCACCTCTGTTGATCCCCAAATTCAGGGAGAGAGAATTTAATATGGGTAACTGATGAACCAATGTGTTGTATGCTTGAAACTAATAAAGATTGTATATCAGTATAATTTAAAAAATGAGTTCATGCGTACATTGGGAGACATGAGTGCTCATCACATACCTGCACCCACACATGGGCACACACAAATGCACTTACACGGCTATGCTGTGACCACAGTTATCCTGGCATTGTTTGAAAGTGTTTCTCTCCCCCACTCATTTCATTAAGATGTTTCTCTGATCAGAGTGGCCTTATCTGGTGGTGGTGGTGGGGAGGCACAAGTATGCTCAAGCATCCACAGGGCACATGGGTGTGCATGAGTGTGGGCAAGTGTGTAAGGACGCCAGGTCAGCTGCCTGACAGGGCTCTGGAAAAATCCCCTGGACAGAGCTGTTCAAAATAATATACTGAGTTTGTGTATTTCACATGAGGCAGGGGAGCATTTTAAGCATTTACCCTAAGGACCGTGGGGCTAAGTACAGCCGTCCCCCGCGGTTCTGTGTTCGCCTACGTGCCGAGAGCTCTTGTGTTCCGTGGGACCTCAGCTAGAGACTTAAACTTGCTGAACCTCAGCTTTGTCACCTGCAAAAGGGATTTGAACGCTGTTCCCCATTCCATAGGTTTGTGCGGATTGAGGTGGGCGTTTATCGCTTTTAGCATAGAGATGACACAGAGCATTTGCTAAAAAAATACTAGTTGTTATTTCTTCTCGTTCACAGTATAGTGAGTTTCCTTCCTCTCATCCCACCTCCGAAGGGTCCATAGCACGAAGCTCAGAGCCCAGTGTGCTCCGCCCCTCGGCCCCGCCCCCGGTGCCCCGCCCTCCACTTGCTCCTCCCACTAGCCCTGCCTCACCAGCCCCGCCCCGGCTCAGCGAGGCTGGAAGCTCATGGTGTAGGTGCGCGGGATGGTGATAAAGCCCACGTATTTAGGGGAGACGTCGATGTCCCGGGGCGACTGCGGGGACTTGAAGCGGAAGTTCTGCATGATGGTGGTGAGGAAGAGAAAGAGCTCCATTCTGGCCAGGCCTTCTCCGAAACAGTTCCGCTTTCCTGAAGAGACGGGGGGAGGGGCGGCCGCAGCCTGTAATCCCTGCCGCCTCGCCCACGACCCACCCTGGCCGCTTCCTCCCGGGGAGGGAGGCCTGAGAAGCCTTCAGGGACGTCTCTCCCGCTGTGAGCCTCAGTTTCCCTCGTCCGTGGGATGGGCGTGAGCCACACCACTAGGCTGGGGCAGTGGGAACCTTAAATGACCCTTTCCTCAAATACACACTCAAATATGGCTGCTGTGCTGTCGTCTCCTTTCCTAGCAATCTGAAGGTTTTAAGTGACTTGACTCTGGGTTCTGATTTCCCTCCTCTCTGAAAGGGGTGGGCCCAGGTACTTGGTGGTCATGTGGACTGCGGCTGGTTGGCTCCAGGGCAGATTGTAAGAGGAATTTCCAGACTTGGGGGGCCTGGGATGAAGGAGGCCCCTGAGGGTTCGGGGATCACTTGGCAGCAGGCAGTGGTCTCTTACCGATGGAGAAGGGCATGAAAGCATCACTCTTCTTAAACTGCCCCTTCTCATCCAGGAAGTGCTGGGGCTTGAATTCTTGGGGGTTGGAGAAGAACTTGGGGTCTCTCAGCACAGAGCCCAGCATTGGGTACACCTCGGTGCCCTGGCAGGGAGAAGACAGGGAGCTGGTGAGGAGGAGGGGTGTGGGGGGGGGGATTCTGTGCCCCAGGTGAGGAAAAAGGGGAGGCATGTGGGTGGGGTCCTCTGAGGGAGGAGATGGATAACCCTACGCAGGAAGTTTAGCAGGCATGGGGTTCGTGTCCCCTGAGAACATGCATGGGCTGTGTCTCTAGGGACAGAAGGGCTGGGGGACATGCAGTTCATGTCTTCCAAGGAGTGGGTTCAGGGGTGATGGTGTTCATGTCCCCTGAGACAGGAAGTTTGGGACACATGGGATTCATGTTCCTCCAGGCAGGATGACTGTGGGACATGAGTCCGTGACCCTGGGACAGGAGACGAGACAAAATGATATTCGTGTCTCCTGAGGCAGGGAGCTTGGCGAAATGGGGTTGATATTCCCAGAGGCAAGAGGTCTGGGGGAGACATGGGAGCAGGAGCTCTGAGTGGGAAGGTGGAGGGGGCAGGTGTTTGGGGAAGCCTTTGTCTGAGGGAGGGGGATCAGGGCTGGAGAGTCTGTAAGGGGAGAGGGATGCTGGGTCACAGCAAGTGGGTGGAGGTCCCTCTGGGCAGGTCGGCCCTGCACCTTAGGGAGGAGGAAGTCCCGAAACTTGGTGTCCTTGATGACTCTGTGGGCCACTGACATGGGGACTGTGTCTGCATATCTTTGGATCTCGTGGATCACCGCGTCTGTGTAGGGCATCTTGACCCGGTCCTCGAACTTGGCCTGACGGTTCTTGCCAATGACCCGGTCAATCTCCTCATGGACTTTGGCTGGGGGAGGAGGGAAAATGTGTTTAGGCATCTAGGGGTCTCAGGGCAGGGATGGTAGTCCAAATGTGTACAACGGGATTATGACATGCATGACATCTATGTGTGACATGGATGTGGACCACTCAACACAGACGTTGGCCATGTGCATTGTGGGTGCAGGTCCTGTTCACCTGGTCCTGCCAGAATCACAGGGGAGGCATAAGGGAGGCAACTCTGAGGAGGATCGTGAGCCGGCTGTGAGCACTCAGTGGGCTCAGCACAGCAGCAGTTTACCAAGCACTTCAGGTATTTCCAATATTTCAACAGATAGAGAAACTGGATGTCAGTAGAATATCACTTAGTGTCCACATACATGGTGTGTCTGAGGGCGTGAGGATCTAAAGCAGGTGGACACATTGCAGACGGTTCAGTAATTTAGAGGGTTCATGGCCCACATTCCCTGCCCCTCCACACTTACCCTCCACATCTGGGTGCTTCATAAGCAGCAGTAAGGCAAACCGCATGGTTGTGCTGACGGTCTCGGTGCCAGCAAAGAAGATGTTCAGTGTGGTGAGCACCAGGTTCTTCCAATGAAACTCCGTGTTGGGATTGTTCCCCTCCTGCAGGGAGAGAGGGTGTCGGGCTGAGCCTCCTCTCCTCAGGGCTGTTAGAGCCCTTTGAGGGAAGGGGAGGTTTCTATTGACCCAAATCTCTTAGATGCAGACTGCCTTGGACAGAGGGAGCCTTCTTCTGCCCACCTCGGCTGTGACTGTTCAGTGGTAGAAATATTAAGAAAGAGAGGGAAAGAGGGACACAGTGAGTGAGAAAGAGGGACAGGGATGACATGACAGAATGAGGCAGAGAGACGTGAAGAATTTTAAGCTACAGCACCCTGTCCCTTCACTAGAAGTCGTGCCGCTTACTATGGAGAAATCCTTCCCCGATCCATTCTTCTTGAACTTAGACTCTGTAAAGCTCCATGTCCTTTCCTCACAGAAGGAAGACTGACATCCAGACGGTGGGAACCCTCCAACAGTAAACCCAGTTCACCTGATAAGTGTGTCTGATAGCGAGGAAATGAAAGGTAAGAGAGCACAGCAGCTAAAAGCACCAGCCTCAGAGTCGGGGAGAGCTGGGTTTGAGCTGGGGTCCCCTGCCTCCGCACTGTGTGACCTCACTCAGCCCACTGATACTCTCTGGGCCGCAGTCTGCTCATCTGTACAACTGGGGTCCTAATAGGGCCTCCTGCAAGAGCTGTGAGTGTGCAATAGGTGAATACGGCAAGGCACTAAAGGAGCGCCTGGTGCCGGGAAGTGTGCACAAGTGCTGTGCTTATGATTCCCACGCACACGCCCCGCCCAGTGGGAGGGCTCAGGAGGTGGAACAGTGATGGTTAGCTACACTGGGGTTCCGCAGATTATTATGGTGTGTGTGGGGAGGTGGGTAATTTCAATAGACCCCTGCTGTTCTCCACCCACACCCGAATTCCATCTGCCTGGCTTGGGACCTCTGGGCCCTGGCCGCTGGGTATACCTCTTTCATGCGTATGAGGAAGGAGTCGATGAAGTGCCGCGGGGAGTTGGGGTCCAGCGTGTGCTGGTCCTGTTCCACCTTCTTGGTTACGAAGTCCTCCAGGCCCTTAAGGTCCTTGAATGCCTGTTGCTGTGGTCCTGGCAGGTAGTTCATGACTGAGTAGAACATGTCATAGAGCTGAGGGTAGGGGGAGAGAGGGAAGAAAGGGCAGTTTCAGTGGCCAGGAGCCAGTGGGAGTGGGACCTGTCTCGGCAAGTTACAGGCACCTGTCACGTGTTTAGGTATTTAGATGAGGCTAGGTGGGAATAGTTTCCACACGAGGTTAGTGTGAGGGCCCCTGTCCGAGGATTTAGGTGAGATGGATAGGGGCACATATCATGGTTTCTAATGTTAGAGGAGGCTGGATGGGAGCAGCTGATGGAGGTGTACGGCTACTTGTGTGAGGTTGGATAGGGCGACACCTGTCCAGGTGTCAAGCTATTCAGGTTGGACTGAAATGGGGGCATCACGTCTCTAGGTGTTTATACATTCAGGTGGGCTCAGCTGGAGACTACTGTCCCGATATTTAGGGGATGTGGATTTGAGGGCATCCATACAGGGTTCAGGTCCTAATGTGGGGCTGGTGTGCAGGAGCTCAAGTGTTCGGGTGTTCTGATATTCACATGAGTGATAGGGTCACCTCTGTCGGTGTTTAGGTGGTTGGGAGACACAACCTAGGTGTTTGGGGAACCGTCTGTCCAGGTGGGGGGATCTTGGTTGTGGTACCTGTCCAGATGAGGAGATCGTTAAGTGTGCTGGGTAGTGGGCACTTATCTGGATATTCCAGTGGGCTGGTTTGGGGCACCTGTGCGCTACCAGTGACTGTGGTGGGCTGCGTTTAGCAGCACAAGGTTCTCAGGAGGTGGACTGAGGTGGTCACTTCTCTGGGAGTTAAGAAACTCAGATGGAAAGATGGACTATCTTAACAGGGAGTATGTGTGAGATCTTAAGGTAAGTGAGGATGGGAGCACCTGCCCAGGTGAGAGGCTTGCTGGGCTGAGCGCGTGTCTCTTGCCCATAGGCTCTCGTTTTTTGTTTTGTTTTGTTTTCTTCTCTTTCTTTCCATCTTCTTGGGCTGGGGGAGCATCTGCTGATACCCAGGTGTCCTAGGAGACTGGATATTGGGCACATGTCTCTGGTCTGGTGCATCCGTTCAGTTCCCCAAGACTGGGAGCTGGTTTGGACGGGACCCCGTCTGGAGGGGGCTGTGGTTTGGGGCACCTGTTTCCGTGTGGGGGAGCAGCTGGGCGGTGTGCCAGAGGCGGGGCAGAGCCAGGTGGGTCGGGTTACCTGCCCTGTGGATGTCGCTGTGAACCGGAAGACTCCCAGCATCATACGGAGCAGGGACAGGAACTCTTTGTCCTCGTAGTCAAAGCGGTCCCCGAAGACAATAGAACTGATGACATTGGAGACAGTTCGGCTCAGGAAGTAAGTGGGATCGATGAAGGCGCCTGGGGAGGGGCGGGCCGCGGAGGGACAGCGATCTGTG